AAATAGAGCTGAAGGTCACGTTTCTTTAATGTGTTTTTTGAACCTTAGTAAAAGATTTAAGCTTATATCTACCAAATGATCTCAATCTATAGAATCTGCAATGCTGAAGCAAGAAAATATATCTGGAATTCTACATAGAGGAAGATCCAACAAACTAAGCCTCTGAAATGGGAGATGGATTAGGTTTCTGTCTAACAGGTTCTTTAATGGCCTTGATCATATAATTTGATCAAGGCAATGCTTTGGACACTAGAATATTGCTACTATGGGGAAAGTTCAGTTTCAAAGTGGGTATGACTTTCAACACTGACAGGAGATAGTGGACCTTACAGTTTCCAATGGACTGCTGGGTTTTCCCTTGTACTCTTGCTAGTTCATGAACCACAGTACCATAGAGAAAAGAAGGTCAAGTTATAACCTTAATACTGTCAGTAACCAGCTAGGTGACCATGGGCAAGTTAATTCACTTTTCCAGGTACTGATTTCCTCTCCATTAACAGAGAGGTTTGGACTAGATCAGTTCTGAGACTTAGGATTTCTGTATTTTTGACTTCCCAACCCAACCCCACCTCAACATTTAAGATACAAAAAAAGAGGCTGCTTCCCTAAATTTAGGACCTATCTCTCCTCCATTTCTTGAGCTTGGCCAGGAAAGTGACTTATTCTTTAGCACATGACTGACATCATCATTCAAAATCCATCGCAAACTCTTAAGGGCAGCTAAACTTCTCCACTGTGGCCCCTAATCTGATGGTGACAGCATTATGGAGGAAATGATTTCTCCTAACCCAAACCAACTGAGCTGTGATTGCAGGCAGAACAATTTCATGAAGATAGTGGGGGAGATTCCTGTGGCTCCTGTTAGTCACCAACACTTCACGCACTGATGCGCTAATAAGTACAGTCATACTTAATCAGGGCAGACAGCCACATCCTCCAGGGGCTGGGAGAAAATGACAGGAGCGGGACAGCTACTCCACTGGAGAGGTCAAGAGACCACACAGAGGCTTCACAGGAGTCAAAAGGCCTTGCAAACGAATACTGTCATTATATCCCCTAAGGAGGAGAAACAGGAAAGCCGTGTTATTAGGAAATGTCTCCAATGCTCTGGGCAAGGAAAAGACCCTCTCCTACCCTTCCTTTCTGGCACTAGTCTGAATAGTGCTGGGATCTCCCCACCACAACCCTGGCGATCCTTCCCAGTCACACAAAACTTGTTTCCTGAAGACCATCTCACTCCACATACAAAAAAACAGCATCCCCGAGATGCCTTTCGTCTTATTTGGTGGCTGGAGAAACTCAAATCCAGAGAGGCTCATGTATCTCTTATGAACTTTGTGTAACAGAGTTAAGTGGCCAAAGCTCTGGACTAGGAAGCAGGAAGCTACGTTTTTATCTCAGTGGCAATGTTGACTCACTGTGCGACCAATGGTAACTTTCATCCCTGGGTCCTTTCTTTCTCCCACTGTAAAATAGAGTCAATATTGACCAAACAAAGATACTAAGAGAAAAAAAGGAAAATCTATGTCAAAGAGACTTGGGCCGTTCAGAGTTAAGGAGCTCTTCATACCCCAGTAACAATTACAGTAGAATCTGGTTACAAGCAGGTCTTGGAGAACAAAGCTACTCCTCAGTTATGCAACTTCCTGATGAAGATAATATAATGCAGTGGTCAAAAAGATGAGCTCCAGAGTCAGACTTTCTGGGTTCATTTCTGACTCCACCACTCATTATGAATTATGTCCCTTCAGTCTCCATTTTCCCATCCATAAGATGAAGAGCATGACAGTACCTACACCTCACAGGGCTGCTGAGGGAATGAAGGAAGATAATTCATATGAAGAGTCTAGAACAGTCACGAGCACATAGCAAGTAACCAAAACTGATTGGATATCATTTGACTTAATATAAGGCTAAAACTTGGAAAATCTAGACTAACAGATGAATAGCTGGTAGTATGTTATCTTCCTGCAATATTCTGCTATCTAACTTCTGATGAAAGCCCAACTGAAAAAAAATCAGCTCAAGATTAAAGTTCCCAAGATGAGAACCACATTGGCTATACAGGTAACTAAAGGAAGATCCATAGGTATAGCATAACAACGGTGCTGGGAGCGAGGCACAGGGAGGTCCTCTACCAGGCAAGCTGAGACACCTGACCCATGTTCTCTCCCAACAGAAGAGACAATCCTGTTCCCCATGGTGAACTGTAAGGTAAGGATGACCCACATGAGAAGCCTGTCATGGGAAATGTGCCATGAGTACCCACTCGGGACATGATGTGACGTGAACAGCAATAACCAAGCCTTGACCTAGCAAGGAGCTCATACAAGGTTTTTCTATGCTATAATCAACACGAGGGCTCTGGAGAACACCCAGGTCCGCTGGCTTCCAGTCAAGAGACCACCATACTGACCTCCAGCAACCCAGAAACATCCCTGCAAGACACTTATACTCAGAGTATTTAGTCCTTTCCCCCTCGCCTCTTAAGTATTCCTATCATGTGCCAATTAAAACTCCTTCCCAAGCTAACTATTACCTCTGCAAACCAGAAGGACTTTAAAAGAAAGGAAATCACCAGATCTGGAGACTAACCAGGATAAGCGTGCAAAACCTTGCAGACGTGTTCCCCACCCCTCCCCAACTGTGCTTCCTTTGCTGAACGATTAATTCACTTCTCTTTCCTGGCTTGGCAACTAGCCCTTCCACCTATAGTTCAGCGGCAATGGGGCTCACAGCCCAGGCTGTCTGGAAACAATTCCTTCAGCTGCATGGCTACAGGCCAGCAAAGGGCCTGAGAACCAGTTACAGTCTCAGTAGGTGAGGGTAAAAGGGATATAGAAAATAAAAGAGCCAGAGATCAGGATTAGCCCTGAGAGCTATGAAACATGGAAAACACTGATATGATAGGGAACCAGATGACTACTCCTTTGTCATTGGGTAATAAGAACTTAATTCTGTCCTTCGCTTCAAGATCAAAGTTCCAATGGGCATTGTTCTTAGACTCAGGTTTTGGCGGAAGAACTGGACGACCCCACTGAGTTTGCATTGCCACACTAGATTGGATGGCAAAGCAAATATAACCATCTCCTTTACCTAGGTTTCCTGCTCAAAATCCTTTCGTTCTGCATGTCTCCCTGATTCTAGCCAATGCCTATTCATGGGACCTTGGGCAAGTCACTTAATCTCTCTGAGCCTCAACTTAACTTTACTTATCCGTAAAACTGGGCATGAAAATTACCTGTCTTAACTTCTTCATGTAGGTTTTTGCAAGGATCAAGTAAGATTAAATATTAAAGCACTCTGTAAATTAAAATGTGCCATTTGTAACTTTAATAAATTCCAAGGTCCACAGGGTCCAGTCTCTGGACAAAACTAAAGTCAGATGTAAAGTAGAACACTCAAAATGAATTAAAGGGAATCCTAGTCTTCAGTTGTATCTGTCAAAGACCATTACAGACGATCCAATTCATAAGTCTCAGGAACGCTTTGTATTTCCTTTCCTCTCCTCCCTAGATCCACTACACCTCAAAAGCCACACAAGTGTTTTTCACTCTTCCAAGCCCTGAATTCTCATCTCCAGCCCCTCTGGTTTTTCTTTCTCTCCCTCTCCTTCCTACTCTTTCTATCAGTTCTTTAATATGCAGCTCAACTTCACCCCACTTTTCACTTTTTTCCTCTCAACTGTACTATTATCTAAAAGTGAAATCGGGCAACTTGCCCCTTTTTCCTTCTACCTTTCCAGTTCTAGCTCTTTCCATCCAATTCCATGATTTGCATTAAAAAGCTTGGGAATAGGTGGGTAAGGGCACAAATCTCCTTAGAGGAAGAGGCTAAATCAGCAAAGTATAATTCTCTTAATGGAGCTAGGGTGGGGAACAGGACATATATAATAGTAAATCTTGACCCTGTCACGTTTTTATTCTTATTACCCCCACTTGGCAAGGTACCTACAAATCTATTAAAGCATAAGATGCATTAAGATATCACATAGCATCAAAGAAGGGACAAGCAGGAGAGAATTTGGGAGGAGTCCTCATAGAAAGCCAGGGTTAGTGGTTTATGTCTAGAGTGGTTGGGACCTTACCATTGCACACCTGTAAGGGACCTTTCAGACACAAATAGTGTTTTCCAAAGTCACCTCTATAGTAAAGTAGTTCCCAGGATATTAACAATTATACATGGAAAAAATATGATTCCATGGCCAATTCAGTTTGAGAAATGCTGCGTTAAAGGGATTTCTCTGACTTTAGGACTTCCCAGCACATATAAATTGAATAATTTTAACATGAAACATTTCGGATGGTAAATGTTTTACAGGATACATTTTAAGAAATGCTGGTTTTGACTCTCCTCCTCATTTTATACACAAGGAAACTGAGACCCATGGGTGGATACTGACCCTCATAACATCATTCAGAGTTCCGGGGGAGAAGAGGGGCTAGAGCCCACGTCTCCAAACCCCAGTTTTGTGTGTTAGACTTCTGGAGGAATGATAGAGAGGAAGCATGCCTCTACAGAATTGCAAAAGTTGCATTTACTCAAGCATCAAGGTTACTATACATCAAGGATGGTTACAAAATAATCATCCAGGACAACCAACATCACAAAATCTAACTAGATCCCACATGTCATGTTTGTAGGCCACTGAACAGTATACAGAATTATGATGAAGGGTCACCTTAGCTAGTGGCAATCTTCTTTTCTACCGCACATCAAGGTGAGCACCACTCCTGGAGCTGTCTGCCTGCTCCTGTTGCAGAGCCCTTAACCAACGGTCAAGATCTCTCCAGTTGTTCGCATAAAACTAAGTACAAAGTTCAAATGAAACTAAAAGAGAATTGCATTATATAGAAGCAATGACAGACTAGTGAGAGAGTTCCCCTATATCTTGCACTAAAATAGCCACCTCCAAATCTTGCCTATCAACAGGGAGATGGCTCAACGTTAGGGGCACTCTGGTTCCATCAGAGGAAAATAAGAGATGACGGCCCCTTTACCTTCTTCTTGGATTTAAAGACGTTACACCTGAAGATATTGCTGGCACCATCTCGAGCGATATAGCTGAAGATCTTCAAGTCTTGGGAATCGTGAGAGACGTAGAAGATCCTACAGGAAGAACAACAGAAAAATGCACTGAAAATGGCATTAGGTTCAAATCTCCAATGAGGAAACCTCTGTTTAAGGACACTCTACAGACAGAGCTCACTCAAGCCAAGTCCTTAGAGAAAGCTTTCTTCCTATGAAAGCCACAATGCAGGAGGCACTTTCCATGGGCTCCACAAACACTGACATTCCAGTGAGTGACCTCCAGATGGGAAAGGGTGGACACAGGTAGGACATGGACCCCACGCTATCACTAGTAAATCTGTCCTGGCAACTTGTACGTTAGAAGGAAAAAATCATTCCCATCCTTATCAGAGCGATAAATCTGCATCTAAGCCAGGGAAATGTGGGGAAGTTTCCTAATACCTGTTCACAGTTACCTCCGAATGAGGAGACTTAGGGAACCAGCAATGCTAACCACATTGGGAGACACTCTGTTTCAGTATTGTAGGTCCCTCGGTGATAGTGACTTCACTTTCTGTCCCACTCCATCAAGTCCACGGCTTCCATATATTCATTCCATCAGTCACCCAATCCCCCTGAGTGCACACCATGGGCCAGGCACTATCCCAGCAGCCAGAGGGACAAAGCAACAGAACATATAGAGCCCCTGAACTCATGGAGCTCATGTTCAGGAGACATCAATAAACAAATAGAAAATGAGTGCCATGAAGAAAAAAATAAGGGACAGAACATGACACAGCTGCTATATTAGACAGGGTGCTTAGCAGGAAGGCCTCAAAGAGAGGCAAAGACCTAATGATGGGAGGGTGCCTGTCAAAGTGGGAACAGCAAGTTTCAAAGCCAGGTGGTGTTTATAAGGCGCTCTAAGCATTCAAGGAATGGCCAGAAGGTCAGCGTGGCTCAAGTCAAGGGAGTGTGGTCAGGGACAGGGTCAGAGAAGCAATCAAAGGCCACAACACAGGAGACCTTGAAGGTCAGGGGTTGTACTCCAAGCGAGACAAGAAGCCATTAGAGGCTTCTGAGCAGAGGACTGACTTCCTGATGCTTTAGACTAAAGAATCCCTCTGGCTGCTGTGGGTGGGCGGTAGGGGTAGAGGCAGAGGAAAGGCCAGGAAAAGGGGAAAATTATAAGCAAGGCCCTAATGGCTGACTCTTAGGTGGCCCTAGGACAGGGTACCACCAGAACCACCAAGCCTGAGTGCTGTCAACATGGGGCAGGGGAGGGGAGTTTCAGGGATACATCAGAGGAACTGATTTGAGCACTGAGGAGAGTGTTGCTCTTGATAAACACCCTGGGGACACATTATTTCCCCCCAGAATCTTTTCCTTATTGAAAACACAACTTTTCCATCCCAGGATTTCACAGGCCTGGTATGTCTGAGTCAGTCTTTCTGTGCAGCACAGAGAGAACAGGATTTAGAGTCATATCCACAACTGTGCCCCTTACCATAAGGTAAGCCAGGGAACCCTCAGAGGCTCAGTTTTCTTATCTGTAAAGTGGGACTTTTAATAGTAACACCTTGCAGTGTTACTGGGAAGATGAAATGAGTAAAGTGCTTTTTACTTCTCCTTACCAATATCACCTCTAAGTAGCCTTTTTACTGAGATTCTTACCAAGGACCCCAAGAAGTCTGAGAGGAACTTTCAAAACAGAAGTGATACAGAGAGGAGGACAATTCCCGGAAGAAATCCAAGTTCACCTTGGGGACCAAAGCTTCTCTGCTGAACTCTGCTAAAAGTCATTTCATTTCATCTCACATGTCCACCAACTCTGAACAATGCTGAAATAGAGGTTATTGTGTTTGTTTAACGTGGCTTCTAAGAAAGCTAATCTAACATTATCGGGCCCGCACCACAGAGTACCCGATCCTTCTAATGATGCCAAAGTGTCCTCCTAACACGGAAGGGACAAGCTAACAACTGCACCTCAGCATCTCCTGCCTGAGCTCCAGGCCCACCCAGCCCGTCTTTCTGGACACACACTCCTGATCTTCTCTCAAGCTTCAAATTCATCACATTCCCCAACTAAATTAATCACCTCCCCTGTAATTCTCAGGCAAACATTGCCTTCCTTCTACCAAGCCCTCTCTCGATGATGGGCGCCATGTCCACTCAAGCCAGAAACCTGGGCAACACCTCTGACTCCTTCCTCCCTTGTTCTCCAATATCGGTCACTCATGACCAAGTTCTCTGCAGCCCACCTCCTTGACATGGCTCTGAAATATACTTTTTCCTTCAGTTCCACAGTACTGCCTTAGTCCACAGGTCCTACTGTTCACCTGGAATTTTGCAACTCACCTAGTGTCTCTCTGCTTCCTACCTCACCTACTGCCAAGCCACTCTCTATATTGCTAGCAAAGTAGTATTTTTGAAAACACAAACTACATCCTAGTATTTCCTTCTAAAAACCATTCAAAGGTTTCCTACTGCCCTCAGACCAAGTCCAAACTCCTCAGCATGGAGTATCTATGTTTCTGCTTTCATCTCTCTCCAGGAGCCTGACCTACAGAGCCCTTCAGAACCAGGTGCATACATCTGCCTGCCTTTGCAACTGCTGTGACACCTCCGGCATCCTTGAAGACTTGATTCAGAGAAGCATTCCCTGCCCACCCTGCCCCCAAGTCTGAGTTGCTGAATGCCCCTGGGTTCACCATTACCATAACACATTACCTCACACTATGATTTTTATATTTATTTTTTGGAATTTAATTTTATTTTTTTATACAGCAGGTTATTAGTTATCTATTTTATACATATTACTGTATATATGTCAACCCCAATCTCCCAATTCATCCCACCACCACCCCCCTCCCCTTTCCCACGCTGGTGTCCATACATGTGTTCTCTACATCTGTGTCTCTATTTCTGCCTTGCAAACCGGTTCATCTGTACCATTTTTCTAGATTCCACATATATGTGTTAATATACAATATTTGTTTTCCTCTTTCTGACTTACTTCACTCTGTATGATAGTCTCTAGGTCCATCCACGTCTCTACAAATGACCCAATTTCATTCCTTTTTATGGCTGAGTAATATTCCATTCTATGTATGTACCAAATCTTCTTTATCCATTCATCTGTCTAGGGGCATTTAGGTTGCTTCCATGTCCTGGCTATTGTAAATAGTGCTGCAATGAACACTGGGGTGCGTGTGTCTTTTTGAATTATGGTTTTCTCTGGGTATATGCCCAGTAGTGGGATTGCTGGATCATATGGTAATTCTATTTTTAGTTTTTTAAGAAACCTCCATACTGTCCTCCATAGTGGCTGGATCAATTTACATTCCCACCAACAGTGAAAGAGGGTTCCCTTTTCTCCACACCCTCTCCAGCATTTGTTGTTTATAGATTTTCTGATGATGCCCATTCTGAATGGTGTGAGGTGATTCCTCATTGTAGTTTTGATTTGCATTTCTCTAATAATTAGTGATGCTAAGCAGGTTTTCATGTGCCTCTTGGCCATCTGTATGTCTTCTTTGGAGAGATGTCTATCTAGGTTTTCTGCCCATTTTTGGACAGGGTTCTTTGTTTTTTTAATATTGAGCTACATGAGCTGTTTATATATTTTGGAGATTAATCCTTTCTCTTTTGATTCATTTGCAAATATTTTCTCCCATTCTGAGGGCTGCCTTTTTGTCTTGTTTACAGTTTCCTTTGCTGTGCAAAAGCTTTTAAGTTTCATTAGGTCCCATTTGTTTATTTTTGTTTTTATTTCCATTACTCTAAGAGATGGGTCAAAAAAGATCTTGCTGTGATTTATGTCACAGAGTGTTCTTCCTGTTTTCCTCTAAGAGTTTTATAGTGTCTGGTCTTACATTTAGGTCTTCAATCCATTTTGAGTTTATTTTTGTGTATGGTGTTAGGGAATATTCTAATTTCATTCTTTTAAATTTAGCTGTCCAGAGTTCCCAGCACCACTTATTGAAGAGACTGTCTTTTCTCCATTGTATGTATTCTTGCCTCCTTTGTCATATATTAGTTGACCATAGTTGCATGGGTTTATCTCTGGGCTTTCTATCCTGTTCCATTGATGTATATATTTCTGTTTTTGAGCCAGCAACATACTGTCTTGATTAATGTAGCTTTGTATTATAGTCTGAAGTCCGGGAGCCTGATTCCTCCAGCTCCATTTTTCTTTCTCAAGATTGCTTTGACTATTCAAGGTCTTTTGTGTTTCCATACAAATTGTGAAATTTTTTGTTCTAGTTCTGTGAAAAATGCCATTGGTAGTTTGATAGGGATTGCATTCAATCTGTAGGCTGCTTTGGGTAGTACAGTCATTTTCACAATATTAATTCTTCCAATCCAAGAACATGGTATATCTCTCCATCTCTTTGTATCATCTTTGATTTCTTTCATCAGTGTCTTATAGATTTCTAAGTACAGGTCTTTTACCTCCTTAGGTAGGTTTATTCCTAGGTATTTTATTCTTTTTGTTGCAATGGTGAATGGGATTATTTCCTTAATTTCTCTTTCTGATCTTTTGTTGTCAGTGTACAGGAATGCAAGAGATTTCTGTGCATTAATTTTGTATCCTGCAACTTTACCAAATTCATTGATTAGCTCTAGTAGTTTTCTGGTGGCATCTTTAGGATTATCTATATATAGTATCATGTCATCTGCAAACAGTGACCGTTTTAATCCTTCTTTTCCAATTTGTATTCCTTTTATTTCTTTTTCTTCTCTGACTGCCGTGGCTAGGACTTCCAAAACTATGTTAAATAATAGTGGCAAGAGTGGACACCCTTCTCTTGTTCCTGATCTTAGAGGAAATGCTTTCAGTTTTTCACCATGCAGAATGATGTTTGCTGTGGGTTTGTCATATATAGCCTTTATGATGTTGAGGTAGCTTCCCTCTATGCTCACTTTCTGGAGATTTTTTTTTTTATCATAAATGGGTGGAGAATTTTGTCAAAAGCTTTTTCTGTATCTATTGGGATGATCATATGGTTTTTATTTTTCAATTTGTTAATATGGTGTATCACATTGATTGATTTGCATATAGTGAAGAATCCTTGCATCCCTGGGATAAATCCCAC